ACTGATTAAACATTCATCCAATAAAATACTTAACTCGACAAACTATCTATAGCTGGCACTTAGCTGACTGCCTATAACCGCTGCTCAGGATTGTCTATAACTTCTACTCGACTGGATAACTATAATTGATGCTCAACTGATTACTATAATAGGGGCTCGACTGGCTGACTATAATTGCTGCTCAATTGACTAACTATAACGACTACTCAGCTGACTAATTATAGCGACTGCTCAACGGACTAACTATAGCGACTGCTTAACTGACTAACTATAGCGACTGCTCAACTGACTAACTATAGTCGCAACATCGCGAACTAAACATACATCTGATATGATAAGCGCATCCCAACCTAAGCATACATCTACTATAATAAAACACATCACAACCTAAGCATACATCTAATATGAAAGAACACATCACAACCTAAGCATACATCTAATATGATAAAACACATCACAAATGTGTATAAGTAAGTATACCGTCTATAACGGCTGCTCAACATGCTATCTATAATTCTGCTTAGCTGACTGATTATAACTGACCGCTTATCTGGCTAGAAGAACACTTGGTCTTCACGCTCAAGATAAGCATCCGTAGGACCTAATCTGTAGGTTGCTGCCCATACTAAGAAAAACCAACTCTTATGCACTTCTAAGGTTGTTGCTTAACCCACAACTGCACTAGAGTCCTTGATAATAACGGGGAATTAAAAACACTTGGTTATGACGAAACATAACCCTAGATCAATGCCCCTTATGGAAAATTTATTCTAAGATCATCTGAAATTAGACTTAACTCAAGGTTGCTCTAGAGTTCTGAATTCACTTAACTCAAAGTTGCACTATAATTCTTATCTCACCTTAACTAACGTTCGATTCACCTAGCTAGAAAGGATCTACTCGCTAGGTAGTTGCCCCTAATAGGGTAGAATCTTACTTACATACCTCAACCATGGTATTGCGATTATAGAAGATCTAATACCCAGTACAGGGTCCCCACCTGATATGCTGAAATGCAAGATCTGAATGGTTTGCGGCAGTCGGGGGCTCGACTCTCCACAAGCTACAAAATATATAAGCACAAAATATATTCTAAGTACT